CCTTGCTGCCTGCACTCTGAGGGTGACGTTTGGGCCTGGGTGACATTTGCAACTGGCTGGGCTTTTTTCCTGTAGGAGACAAGAGCCAACGTTTTCCAGAATTTTTTTTTTTAAATATATCTTTATTGATTTCAGAGGAAAGAAGGGAGAAGGAGAGGGAGAGATAGAAACATCAATGATGAGAGAGTCGTTGATCGGCTGCAGCCCGCAACCCGGGCATGTGCCCTGACTGGGAATCAAACCCTGATCTCCTGAGCTCAACCACTGAGCCACACCTGGCTGGGCTGTCCAGAATGTTTTATCCTTTGTAATCAGACTCGCTCTCACTATCTTTGGGGGAACAGGAGCTACTAATTCAGGCAACACCAGGGCTTGTTCACACAGAGGCTGGTCTAAGTGGCCTGCCTGCCCTGTCTGTGTGCATGGACTATCTGACAGCGAGGCCCCGTGGGCCACTGGGGCCCACCCTCTCACTGCTGCACCTCAAGAACAACCTGACTCTGGCAGGATTTGAGGGTCCCGCAGGGATCAGGGGCTTTCCTCCTGCCCTGATTTGTGACCACAGTCCTCCCAGCGCATCAGGTAATCAATTCATCCCACAGGCAGTGACAGTAGCCAGTTGCTGATGTGGCTTTGCCTGCATGGAGTTACTGGTCTCATGGGGCTGACCAGCGATCAACAGTGACAAGGACTTGGGGCAGCTCTGTGAGGGACATTGGGCAGCGCTCTGAGGGCACACCACCTGACCTTTTAAATTATCAAGCAGTGTGTTGCGTAGTTAAAAATAGGCTGGTGGCTTGGAACATACCATAAGGTCTGTTTCCTCCCATTTCTACGCCCTCCCCGCACAGCTCTAAGAGGCACTGTTTAAAGATCTGACTTCTGCATTGAACCCACGTCTTTGTCACCATTGGCCAGTATCTGTCACAGAAAATGAGACTATAGCATCTACAGGGCATATTCCTCCCCTCTTAGTTGTTGTCAGTTATGTTATTTATATAACATGGATCTTTTGCTCTCAGACTAATGAAATCTTTTACTTTGCTGTTGGTTAGTGCTGAAATATTGGCAAAAAACAGTTTCTACTATAACCAAGCCTCTTGAGTTACCTGTAGAATCAGTGACCAGACCTTTGGAAGGGAATTGAACTGAAATGTCATTGTCTAAGTCCAGCTGCCTGCGAGTGGCGTGGGAGCCCCATGGCCAAGCCCAGCAGCAGGCACAGCTTGTGTGCTCCCTCTGCCCTGCCGTGCCGTGTTTTGCAGAAACACTCCTTCCAGTGACTTTCCCCTGCAGTGCTGGAGTCACCTTTGAGTTCTCCAGTGTCGGGGAATCAGTCCTGGGGTGGTATGTTTGACACCCATTTGGCTGGGTTTAGAGAGTGTTCCTGATTAGAGTCAGTACTTTGAGGAGGCTGCCTCNCAAAAAAAATACCCCTCCTTGGTGGGCAGGGCTTGATCTCTGCCCTCAGGAGTCTGAATTTTGCTGGAGCTGGCCTGGCGATGGATCATGCGTCATTCACTCTTACCTGGTTGGGCACACACTTCTAAATAGTTCTGCTGGAAGCTCAGGAAAGTGCTTTTCCTTCATCTCCTCCTTCCTGGGTTCCTCTCCTTTCCTCTGAATTCCTGTTACATGTCAAGACTTTCAGCTAGTTCTCCATGTCTTGATGTTTCTCTTCCATTTCTCACATTAGGTTTTGGGATGTCTTTTTTTTTACATTTGAAAAATCAAACACTAATTGACTTAATAAAACACATCTTAAGTGCCCAGGCAGATGTACATGGGTGTGGCTGCACCCTGACTCACCTGCACCTCCCGGAGGCAAGCTCCTGCTGGTTTCCACCCCACAGCTAGTTCCACCTCTTCTGGAGTTTGGGGCTATTGTGAGTGGAGCTGCTCAGAACCCCGTGTACCTGTCTTCGGTGGCTGCCTGTGTCTTTGTCTTGGGTGGGTACCTGGCGGGGTCTGACGGGCCAGAGCTGGGTATGAATGTGCCAAGGCTGCCTTGAGGCTTTTGCCACCAGCACCTTCCATAGCCCCATGCCAGAGGGCTCAGCTTCATCACCACCCAGCAGTTGAAATGACCCTTTTTGTTTTACCCTGCTGGTGGGTGTGAAGTGGGATCTTGTGATTGTAATTGGCGTTTTCCTGATGATTCAGGATGCAGAGCACCTTTTCATATGCTTTTTGGCCATTTCTGCATCTTCTGTGACACATATCTATTCCCATTTTGTCATCCTCGAGTTATAGTGATACCATTGTAATAAACCTAGTTATGAATAAAAAGGAAGGAGCAAAGGGAAGGCCAAATATTATAGCCATTTGTGCAGCTTTGCCAGAAAGCTGCAGTTTAACACTCCCCAGGGAGCCACCAGAAGGGACTGGAAACGAAGAATAGACACATGACCTAAAGCCTGGGTGACATAGGGAAGGTACTTGTCTCTCAGTCACACCTGGGAACAGGTCATGGGCCAGAATGGGTGTGGCCACTGCAAGGGCTTGAAATTGGTATATTTAATCTCCTAAACCAGGGAACCTTTTTTCTGCCAAGGGCCATTTGGATATTTATAAGATCATTGTGGGCCATGCAAAATTATCAGCTTAAAAATTAGCCTGCTGTATTTGGGCAAACATTTAATTAACTCACCCCTAACGTGATGGCTGGAACTGCTTCTCTTTGGTGAGGCGTTGGCAGGGCCAGACCACCTGATTTTGGGGGGCCGTATATGGGTGGGCCGGACATCCCCCACCCCTGCCCTAAACAAGGGAATTCTCTCTCTTGCCTTCTTTCGCTCCTGGTTTCTCAGGGGCTCTGGTGCTCCCTCCTGTGCTCCTGTGTTCGCCCACATGACTCATGGCCATGTGAACCTCACACATAATGGACTCATGGACTGAAACTAGCCTGATGCTAAACTGGGCCCAGCTCCACCGTGGAACGGAAACTATGGACACTGGCTTTGCTTCTGGCTCTACTGAATCCCCAGCTGCACCTCTTCCAGAACTGGACTAAGGGAAATGGGACTTTGAAAGCCCAAGGTCTAATTCCATGTAAATAAAAATCCGTCATTCTCCCATGTGGGTCTCAGAAAATTCTTTTTCTTGAGATGTTGTAAGGACCTAACCCCAAGCACTCTGGGGAAAGGGATACCTCACTTCCGCTGATAACAGTAGGAGTTCTTCTGTATTCTGGATCTGAGACCCATGTCAAATACATGCCTTGTTTCTCCCAGTCTGTGGCTTGACTTTTATTTTCTTAAATAAATATTTGATGAGTCAAACATGTTTCCATGTTATCTAGATTAAACGTTGACTTTTTGTACTTAATGTTTCCTTGGATTATAGAATATCTTATTTTTAAAACATTGAGCTTTAATTTGCAAGAGCTCTTGACTGTCCCTTTTTAAGTAGAAGCTTGACCTCCTTTACGTAAGCCTGTCAACCTCTTGGATCCTGTGAGGACATGAGCTGGATATTTTTGAAGTTGTCTTTGTTTTCTCCTTTGCTCTGCAGTGACTGTGCAGCTGGCCCCATGTGTGCATGGAAAGGCTGAGGAGGGTTTGTGGGCTGGGGCTGGTGGAGGGAGAGGACCTGAGTGGTTACAGCGCCACTTGGGATAGGACTCCCTACCAGATGACCTCATCATGATCCCAGGGTGCCCCTCTCCTCTCTGGATTTGTTGGAATCTGACTTTTTGTCCTTTGGGGTCTTTCGGAAGGTGTTTTCCTTCAGCTCTGACTTCTCCCTCCATCTGTCCAAATGCACGTCTTCTATCTTCCTGCAGTTCCTCAAAGCTCCCTGTTCCCCATTCAGTGTTTGTTTTCCTGGGGTTCCTTCTGGTGGGAGGGCCAGGTGTGTGCTGCGTGGCTCTGTGGGCCCGTTGGACTAGGACAAAGGTGACATTGGGGGTCATATGCTCAGGATGGGGGAAGACAGCAGTTCTGGGGCCTGTGGAAGTGAGGTTAGCCTGTGAGATGAAGTTGGAAGCAGCAGGCTGCTGGGACGGGTGAGGCGGGGGCCTGGGTGGTGGCAGGTGTGGGTCAGGGTGCTGGAGTGTGTTCAGATGTGCGAAAGGTGTTGGGTGTAGTGGCCCCAGGCCCAGAAGTGTGTGTGTGTGTTGTCAGCACCGACCTGGGCTTGGCTGGGACTCGGGTCTTCCCTCTTTGCTCTTGGCTCCGGTCTTTCTCGCGGTCTTCTGGCTGTCATCGCTGTGGTCGTCAACAGGTCCTCAAAATCACGTGTCAGTTCTTTCTTGATTAGCATGTGTGTCAGGAGCAAGGCCTCAGGTGTGTTTCGGGACGGAGTGCATTGGCCTTGCAGTGGGTTCTGAGGCTGCTCTGGCTTCTGGAGATCTTTTTTCTTTTTTTAATCTTTACCTGAGGATCTGTTTTTCATTGAGTCTGGAGAGGGAGAAAGAGAGAAAAACATCGATGTGAGAGAGGAACATCAATCGGTTGCCTCTGCATGCACCATGACCAGAGATCAAACCCGCAACCTGGGTACGTGCCCCAACCCAGGAATTGAACACGTGACCCTTCGGTGCACTTGGACGATGCTCTAACCAGCTGAGCCACACACCAGCCAGGGCTAGAGAGCTGTTTGCTGAGCTAGCTCCCTGTGCAGAGTGGGGCTCCTCGGGGCTGGTCCCCCTCTCCCTTGTGCTCCCTGAGCAAAGGAAATGACTGTGAAAGGCCACGCGACTGCCCTTCTCAGCTGTATGTCTCTCTAGGACCGGAAGCTCACCAAGCTAGAGCGGCAGCGGTTCAAGGAGGAGGCCGAGATGCTAAAGGGCCTGCAGCACCCCAACATCGTACGCTTCTATGACTTCTGGGAGTCCAGCGCCAAGGGGAAGCGGTGCATCGTGCTGGTGACTGAGCTGATGACCTCTGGGACACTGAAGACGTGAGCACGTCGCCTGCCTGGCCGGCCGGGGCCTCAGGGTGGGCTTGGCCCAGGGTGTGGGGCTCACAGTAGCTGGGTAATCCTGCCTGGCGTCTGGTCAGCACTCCTCTCACAGGTGTCCCTGTTTGGGTGATATTGCATGGCCCACAGCTGTGGGAAGCCCTTTCACACATGAGTAGCCTGTGAGCCGCTCCCCTACCCTCAGGTACCTGAAGCGGTTCAAGGTGATGAAGCCCAAGGTGCTGCGTAGCTGGTGCCGGCAGATACTGAAGGGGCTGCTATTCCTGCACACCAGGACGCCCCCCATCATCCACCGGGACCTCAAGTGTGACAACATCTTCATCACCGGGCCCACCGGCTCCGTAAAAATTGGTGACCTGGGCCTGGCAACCCTCAAGAGAGCATCCTTTGCCAAGAGTGTGATAGGTAAGCTCACCTCTCCGAGACCCTGCCTGCCCCTCAGCCCCCTCAGTCCCCTCAGCCAGGTTATGGCCCTGTGTGCCTATGTGGGGCCCTGGCTGGGGTCCGGTGGTGAGGTTGGCTGGCACCTGTGGGGCTATGGGCACTCAGGAGCCAGGAAGGAGGCCAAACCATGGAGGGATTTGGGGACTCTGCATGGTGATGCTGGAGCTGGCCTCAGTGGGTGGGGAGGCATTCCCCAGGATGTGAGGCCCACAGACGGAACCCCCGAGATGTTTGGGGCCTGAAGTGAGCAAGTGTTTGGGTGGGCGGGGTCTGCGGGCTTCCCTGCGGATGGGGTTTGCTGGCTGTTTTTCCACTGTGTTTCTTTTCCTCGCCTGAGAAGCCGCTCTGCAACCTTTCTGGGTGGAGCCCTCAGCCCATAGCTGCAGTTAGGAGCAGAGACAATGCATCTGGTGTGTGTGTGGCCCGAGTGGGTTCCTGGCAAGCAGTGGGCGCTCTTTGTCCACAGGGCCCAGGCCTCAGGCGGTAGACCCTCCTGGCTTTGCCAAGAGAGCACTTGGAGGGGCTTTGGGGCAGCTCTTTATGGGGTTCAAGACATCTGGAGAACACTGAGGTGTTGCAGGGCTTGAAGACTCCAGTGTGGCTCCAGGAGACATCCCAGAGGTAGCTGTGTAAGCATTTTTTTTTTTTTAATCCTCACTTTAGAACATGTTTCCACTGATTTTAGAAAAAAGAGAAACATTGATGTGAGAGAGAAACATCAATCAGTTGCCTCTGGTACACGTCTCAGCCGGGATCGAACCTATAACTTAGGCATGTGCTTGGACCAGAAATTGAACCCGTGACCTTTCAGTGAATGGGACAGTGCTCAACCAACCGAGCCACACTGGCCAGGCTGCTGTATAAACATTTTGAAGACTCCCCCATCCCCCATGTGCTTTTTAAAAAACTGGGACATTCTGAAAATCTTCCGTTGTCAGCAGAGGAGTTAAAGCAGCTTCACTGAAGGGAGGCTCCTTTGCATTTAGCTCAACAGATGCTCAGTTGGACTTGTTTTCAGAAAAAGATTGTGTGACTATTAAAGCAAAAGTTTGTTACAGACAAATTAGAAAACCTAGACCAGCGTAACTAAAGGAAAATCAGCTGCAGTCCCACCTGCCAGATGCGTCACTTTGGTCTCTGCTGGTGGTTTACATGGCGAGGTCAGCATGCACATGCACTGTGTATTTTATGTATTTTACTCTGCCTATCGTAAGTCTTCATGTCCTTAAACATTCGGAGTGAACATTATTTTAAAACCTTTTGTGCTTAGAATGCATGAGCAGTTTCCACCTGGTACCTGCCAGGTGAATGGCACCTGTCCAGCTGCCCCCAGATCATCATCTGTGCTGCCTGACGCTCTGCTGTGTGGGGTGCCTGTCTGGGGATATTCGGGGCTTTTCTGGGGTTTTGCAATTTAAGCAGCTCTGTGGTGACCATGGGTTTTGTCTGTTCTGGGCCTGTGGGGGTTGGGGTGCTGGCTGTGTTCTGCCTCCTTGATGAGAGGCACGTCAGCGTTTCCCAGCTCTGGGCTGAGCCCGCCCAGGACCAGGAGGGCCCAGGGGGCATTTTCATGAACTTCTCTCTATAAACTTTCCAGGATTCGAGGACCTGGGGTATGGCACGTGGATGAGGGGGCTTTGAGCTGTGAGGGGCAGGGGGGCTTCGGGGCTGATGGCCACTGACACTGTCCCTGTTGCTCCGGCACAGGCACCCCTGAGTTCATGGCCCCGGAGATGTACGAGGAACACTATGACGAGTCTGTGGATGTCTACGCCTTTGGGATGTGTATGCTGGAGATGGCCACCTCAGAGTACCCCTACTCTGAGTGCCAGAATGCTGCCCAGATCTACCGCAAGGTCACCTGTGTGAGTCCCCATGTCCCCCCTGACTCTGCCTTTGTAAAAGCACAGCAGCTGTGTGAGGAAGGGGACGAGGCCATTTCACAGATGGGAAACGAGGGTGGCTCAGGTCTCTGAGCTGTGGGTAGAAGCCACACAGCAGTAATATACTAGGAGTGCCTGGAGGCTGTCCCTGGGGCCTCAGCGCTACGAGGCTGGAGCCCCCACCAGTGCCCAGGCTGCCTGTCTCTGGAACCCCTCCTCTGGGCTGTTCCAGGGCCTGCTGGCCCTTTGTCTTCTGGTGTGTCCCCAGGATTTAATCGGACAGATCATCCTGTCCTTCTATGCAGCTGTTCTGCTTGGTGGGGAGCACAGAGGGAGTGTCCAAGGTAGGGTAGCTGGACCATGGCTTTTCTGGGCCCTAGTCCATCTCTGTCTGTCTGTGCCTGCTGCACTTGGTGGTCTCACCCAGACCTTGGTGCACCCTCACTGCTTCTGCAGAAGAGCCCAGGCACCATCCCCTTTCCGTACGCCCCCTGAGCCCTCCCCTAAGGTCATACCTCTCGTCTCTCTCCTTTGGTTCTTATTTCTGAGTTAGTGGTCACTTGTTAGCTCTGAGCCCCTCCTGTGTGCTCTGAGGCTTCAAGGCAGGAGGGCAGGGTTCTTGGTTGGAGGTACTATAGGTGTGGATCAGAGGCCCACAGACAGGTGTGCAGCTCCCCGTGGTGCTGGCAGGAGAGGGCTATGGGCATTGTCCTCCAGGGACATGGGGGGACCTGAGGGATATCAGGACCTCACTGCCAGGCTTTCGTGTTGGTGCTGGGGTGTGGGAGGAGCAGCCCGAACACCCTTGCTCTAGTCCATCTGCTGGCCTGGGGAGACAGGGACTGAGGTCCGGAGCATGTGCTCCTCAGCCACCCTGGTTCTCCCAGCAGCCCCACTGCCCCTGTTTAGGCCCCGGAAACAAGACATGGCTAGGGTCCCGAGGCCCCTGTGTTGCCTGCGCTGGTTTGGGCAAAGCAAGGCACAGCCAAACCCTGGAGAAAGCTAGGTGGGGAGCATGTTTCCTGACCTTCGTGTGTCCTTTGTTCAGGACACCCTTTGCTCCTGCCGGGAGCTCACTCATGCACCCACACTCTGGTCCAGCCTCTAACATGTGCTCCTAACCCCAGCTCTAGTGGGGTCACTGTGCCCTTGGCTTTCGGTTACCCTAACTCCATGCAGAGGAGCCCAGACACGCGAGCCCCTTTGGAACAGTGTGTTCTTGTTCTTCTGGCACATTCACCGGCTTTGGGGGCCTCGGTTTCTCAGAGGTTTAAATAACAGTGTGTGCGGACAGTTCCTCAGACCCCCCCCCCCCACACAGG